GAGCCAGGTTCAGCAACGGAAGGTCAGATCAAAGGAAAACACAGAGAATGGTCTGGTCACAAGCCGAGCCAGATACCAGAAGAGTCACGAGAGTATACACAGAGCTGTAGCAATACAAAGACACAAGACACAAGTGCAAAGAGCATGTGCGGATCACAGGCTTATATGTACTCAGCCACACCCCTCTGGGGGAAGGACCTCAGAGACCTGAAGGCATAAAAGACTCCCACCATGCTCTGCAGAAACCCAAGATGGACGCCAGTACATGAAGCTGCACAGTCTCTGGAAAAGATAGGACCTTGACAGATGGGTAGTTGGACTTTATTGGGACATAGAAGTATTATCATAGGACTTTGAGACCCTGGGATCCCCCTCAAATTGTGGGACAGTCCTGGCAAATATGGTATTGTTGGGAGGTATGAGCACATGTATTATTTTAGCGTTCTGTCTCTAGTTAATTATTCACACAGTAGCAGGCTCCCACATAGCACATGTACTTTTTTAGTATTCTGTCAGTAGTCAGCCTTTCACATAGCAGAGAGAGAGCCATTGAAGATTAGCCAGTTTACATTTCATAAAGGTCCATGCACAACTGACTAATTAGCGAGGTTTGGGTAACAGGTAAAAAAAAGTAGATATAAGACTGTAGGCTTAATGCCTCCCAAAACTCTACAAAGTCTCCATACTCTGAGACCCAGACCAGAACCTATAAGGATCTGGATTCACTTTGTTTTCTCCATAACAGATACAAATCATGAAACCCCTCAATCTCTGTAGGTTAGAAACCTAGGTGACACATATATACTCACCGGCCACTTTTTTAGGTACACCTGTTCAATTGCTTGGTAACACAAGCTGCTAATCAGCCAATCACATGGTAACAACTCAATGCATTTCGGCATCTAGACATGGTGAAGACAACTTGCTTAAGGTTCAAACTGAGCATTAGAATGGGGAAGAAAGGGGATTTAGATGACTTACAACGTGGCATGGTTGTTGGTGCCAGAAGGGCTGGTCTGAGTATTTCAAAAACTGCTGATCTACTGGGATTTTCATGCACAGCCATCTCTAGAGTTTACAGTGAATTGTCTGAAAAAGAGCAAAAGTCCAGTGAGCAGAAGTTGTGTGAACATAAATGCCTTGTTGATGTCAGAGGTCAGAGGAGAATGGACAGACTGGTTCGCAATGATAGAAAGGCAACAGTAATTCAAATAACCACTCATTACAACCAAGGTATGCAGAATACCATCTCTGAACATACGACATGTTGAACCTTGAAGCAGATGGGCTACAGCAGCAGAAAACCACACCAGGTGCCACTCCTGTCAGTTAAGTTCAGGAAACAGAGGATACAATTCGCACAGGCTCACCGAAATTGGACAATAGAAGACTGGAAAAAATGTTGCCTGGTCTAATGAGGCTTGATTTCAGCTGTGACATTCAGATGGGAGAGTCAGAATTTAGCATAATCAACAACATGAAAGCATGGATCTATCCTGCCTATACAAGCCAGGATGGATCCATGCTTTCATGTTGTTGTTTATGCCAAATTCTGACTCTACCATCAACAGTTCAGGCTGGTGGTGTAAAGGTGTGAGGGATATTTTCTTGGCACTAGCAAGGTGTACCTAATAAAGTGGCCACGTCTAGATGACTAGATATTGCTATATATTCTGCCTTATTCTGCAACAAGGACGTTTATGTTTTAGTTGTGGGGATAATATTTTGTAAATTATGTTAATGTACTATATAATTTGTAATACTACTTATTTTATATATTTGCTCTTTTGCCGTGATAGGGAATTCTATATGTTGGTTACCGGGCATCTTATGTCAGTGAAAAATAAGATTATTTAAGAAATTGAACATTGTAGCTCAACCTTTTAAAGCTCGTGTTCATGGGCTTTTGTTCACTTCAAGTGATTTTGCATTCCCCTGCAAGTCTATGGGAATGCAAAACTTGTTTGAAGTGGGACAGAGGGAGGTTAACTGCAAGTTAATGCACCTGTAAATGAATTCAAAATGATCAAACTGATGCCATCAACGAAAGCCCAAACCCTGTCAAAATAGACATTTATGATTGTGTGAGTTCACTTATAAAAATATTTATATTTTCTCTCTAATTTAGCATTTTTTGTGTGTATATAGGACACTGTGGCTTGAGTATCAGTGGTCAGAGATCACCAGACAGTTGGGGGTTTATTTACTAAAGCTGGAGAGTCCAAAATCAGACTCCCTTCTGCATAGAAACTAATCAGCTTCTAACCTCAGCTTGGTCAATGAAGCTTTGGCAATGAAACCTGGAAGCTGATTGGTTTCTATGCAGAAGGGAGTCTGATTTTGGACTCTCCAGCTTTAGTAAATAAACCCCTTGATGTCTTGCCTAGAATTTTGACTGTTCACTTGTTAGTCTTGATTAGAGATTAGAGAACCTGTCCAGGTTTGATTCACAGGGAGTTTATCAAATCCTGCTTGGAACCCACAAAGTCCAAATTTAGCTGCTAACCCCTATTGAGGTACATTAGAGGTGAATCTTGGTACTACATTCTAACCATTTTCACAGCTAATTGTGAGAAAAAGAACATGGGTAGCTTGGTACTGCCATGGGGGACATTTAACAAATAAAAAAAAACCTTTTAAAAGCTACCACACTATAGGAAGAGAGTCCTGTTAATGTGTCTATGAGGATGACATGGGAAAAACATTGTTCCTTATAATACATGCTTTGGTTGCATCCAGAAGCCATGGATGATATATTTGTTCCTCACTGCTGTCTCCTAGGATAGCTGGGCATTGGAAATGCCATAGTAATTTGCCCCTGCAATGGTCTGCAGAGCATTCTCATGGGATTGCAATCAACCAGCAATTACAAGAGGCATCAGTGAGCCATATTTTGTTGGTAAAGTGTAAAAGATGACATACACTAAGTAAATACCAAACACACTTAAAATTTGCACATGCCTATGGAATGGGAAAAAACTACGGTTTATTAAATTATCCTTAGGTGACATTTTAAAAGCCTTTACAGGTTACCAGTTTAGACTTACACAGGAGGTCTGGTGCTCAAATTATTGCTCTTACTGTGATGTTCAGGATGATACCTCATATGTGTGGTGTGATCACCTTTTACATATGCATGTGGGACCTACATATCTGTTAGCATTTGCAAGTGAACACATGCTTTTTTTTAACATTTTTTTTATCGAACTTTATTACTACCACTGGGGATAAACAACAATACGTGTGATTGCATGTGCTGCTCTCTGCAGGTCCTCTTTATGGAGAGATCTGGGGTCTATTAGACCCCAGATCTCTTCTCGGCTCTCCAAAGCAGAGAATCAAACTTGTTTTTCTACCTATTTTTTTCTTTCCATTTTCTTTTATTATTTTTTTTTTGTTTACATCTTTCTCTCCTACAAGAGGAGAAAGATAAAAAGTATCTTTCTCTCCATTCAGGAGAGAAAGAGAAAACACATGGGGGGCCTGTAGAGTGACTGATCACTGATAGCTAATCACAGTGATCAGGTGACTGGAAACTGGGAGTCTTGGGTTCTGTGGGTTCTGATCATTAGTGCTCCCAACAAAAAGACAGGTACTCAGATATGTGGCCCCAAGGATAAAGACCCACTTCAGTGAGGCCACATATGAGTATGAGTACTTTCGGCAGGAAGGGGTTAAATAAAACAAATGTTCGTAATAATGTGCAACTCATTTGCCATTAAATAAATAACAAACTAATAACTAATATTATTAAAAATAATATAAATGTATTTAAAGTGCATTATCTATACAAAATGGAAATGTCTGGCTAGACAAAACGTGTCAGATGTGATTCTACATGTGACATCATTTCCGGTGAAACACACACCGGCTCCTAGGTGAGCTGAGGAGAGCGGTGAGGCTCCCCCTAGAGGATTAAGCTGTTGCCTTAGTGCTCGGGTTACAGTGGCACTAATCCATGTGAGTGTGCATTCGTTTTTTAAACATTGTCAATACATTTTTGGTTTTACTCAATAAGTTCTCTCTATTTGTGGTATCGGGTGTATGTGATCCTGGTATAATTGGAGGGAAGGAGCTGGTGGCCATGCAGGTGGAGGAGCAGAGTTACTATTGCCTGCTGTGAAGGTAGCATTCATCTAAAGCTCATTAAGACCTCTATTTTAATAAGAAGGTCTTTTAAATCTGGTGAGTGATCCATTGTATGGGGTGTGAGCGCTGAACATACAGTTGCTAGGAGTCACCTTATTTTTGGACATGGTGTTGGTTTATTTATACAAGAGGTGGAAAGTAAGGAAAACTGTACCACATGCATGTTGTATATTCGTGTTTAAATATGATTTGCACTTAATAGAAAGCACTATTTTTGCACAAGAAGGACATTTTTTTTATAGATATTGTACTATGAATATATTATTTATGATATCAGAGACTGCTATTTAATGGCATCATTCTTAATTTATTACTAAGAGTTTTTGTTTTATTTAAAGTGACTGGGGATCATAATTATTACACTCAACATTTTTTTTAATTTGTTGAGCGCTGCTAACTTTTCATTATACAGTATTTATATATGGGCACTGTAATATACCCCAGTTTTCGGTAACTGCCGATGAGTACGCACTGCCTAAGACACATAGTATATTGTGGTGCAGATGTTGAATCCCTTTTATCTAATTAACAAATATACTCACACAGCCTGTTATTACTGTAGTACATGTAGACAGGGGTGTCTATAAATTACAGGGTGTCCCAAAAGTCACCGTACTTAGAAAAAATGGGAAATTGTAGATAAACGTACATTTGTTTACAAAATATTAATTACAAAATTAAAAATTACCAAAAAAATATAAAAAAGAATATAAATATTAGAACTAGAAAATATCATATGAGTTGGCAATTTTTCCTATGTATAGGGACTTTTGTGAAACCCTTTAGTGGCCACTGTGTGCTGTTCATGTAGCAATTGATAATAAATCAGATTTATCACTGGTTTCTCTTCACAGGGTACTTTAGAACAGCACAGTGTTAATATTCCTAAAACTACAATCAACATTAAAGGTGATCTCTTTGAAATTGTTAATTCTCTTGAAGCAGGTAAGATATAAAGGGACATCAGGGTATTTGTTATGAATATTATATTGCAAATTGACATTTACTTTTATGAAGGTGCTTTGAGCTCTTGAAAGGGCAGTGGAGAGTTTTCTAAGCACATTTCAAAGAAGCCAGTCCCTTTCATTAGCCTGTTCTAAATGGAGAAGGTGAAAGAGTAAAGATTAGTAATGACAAGTGAAGATCATTTGTGATAATAAACCACACTGGAAGTACGTACCAATACCAATTGCTGCAGTTACTGTACTTGTGTTCTGCATTTGATATTATAGATAAATCTAGGGAAACTTTTGACCACAATAGTTTACCCCTTCCCACCTGTTTTTAGTCACTGGCATTTCTCCTACAGTGTAGTAAGTAAAACCCTTTAAAATGTTAAATGACCGTTTTGTGATCATACCATTATTGTTAATAAAAAAAAAGGGGTTTCAGCTGCATAGATTTGAATTATATGTTGCTGTCAAATACTACTTCCAAGATATTGGAAGTGCAGTCCTGCTCTAAACTGCAAGAGCATCAACAGTGGGATTAAATTGAGAGCAAGGTCACCTGAGGATACCCAGCTCCATTAAAAGTACAATGAAACAGACACAGGAAACATACCCAAGGTAACTAATTACTTTTCATATGAGGTCAGCAAACACTGCAAGGGTAGGAAATGACAGGCAGTTAATTGTCTTATAATAGGTACAACAAAGTTAAAGTGTTTGTAAAGTTATATTTTTTAAATAACAAACATGTTATAATTACATGCAAAGGTTCTGCACAGAGCCCTCCTCTTCTTGGGTCTCCCATCGGTGATCTTGGCTCCACCTCCCTGCTGAGTGCCCCCATAGCAAGCTGCTTGCTATTTGGGCACTTGTGCGGGCTCACTTACAAGCCAGCTTTGTGTTTCCATAGACACGCAGTGCGGGGCTTGGACCCACCCCCTACTCCCTCCTCAATGGCTGTGATTTGAAAGCTGCAGAAATCAATGGGGAGGGAAAGAGTCAAGAGAGGCACTATTCCCGTGCACATTTCTGGACAAAGATAGGGCTCAGGCAAGTTTAAAGGGGACATGGGGGGACTTGGACAAAGACAAAGAAGTTTTTTTTTACCTTATTGCAGAGAATGCTATAAGGTTAAAAAAAAAACTTCAACCTTTAGAACCACTTTAATTCAAAAGTGTGTTTAAAAAAATTCCAAGCTCTCAGCCCCACCTAGCACTTCGAGGGGCACTGCAGTAGGTAACCAGCCAGTCCATCTCTAGTATAAATATTTCGGTCAGGTTTTATTTTCCTGTCCAATAGCTGTTGTATCCCTGAGATGACTGCTTAGTGGACATCTCTGTGCTACAAAAATATACAAAATTAACAATGACAACCCAAAAAAAGTGGCTAAGTCTAAAGACTTTGGGATATGTCTATATAGAGACTGGCTGCACATTGCCAGCAGGCCAACTACACAGATTTGCATGTAAATTCACCTTGACAAATAACATTAAGAACATTTGTTTTTCAATGACAAAAAGGGAATTTAAACAATTTAAGTGACTGGAGGGTTAATTTTGAAACATTTTTACATGTTTTATAAAAGAGGACCCCCCTACACACACACACACACACACACACACACGTAATACTAATCAGGGAGCATTAGGCTCATACAATGTTGATACTATCTTCCATGCCCTTCAGTGTTGGTTGGGTAGAACCCTTCCCAAAGCACTGATGGCCAATGGTAATAGGCAATGGGCTATTCGACAGCTAGGTTAGCTATTTTCCAGTTAGCTACCTTCTCCTTGGTAAATTAAAGGGAGTATCAGAACTCTTGAAAGCCAATTCCAACTAAAAGGGATAAAGCTTCTGTCAGGTCTTTGTCGACTAAGATAGTATATTGTCAAATAAACTGAAGCCAAATAGTGTGAACACAAACTGTAGCAAGTATGCTTCCTAATAAAACACAGTCTACAGAAATAAAAAGAGTGCTCAAAATACAAAAAAGAAGAGGCTTTGATTCTTTAAAGAAAATTCTATTTCATTAATGAGATATTGGGAAAAAAAAAAAAACAAAAAAGAAAGTAACTTAGCAAAGAATTAAAAAACAGTTTACTAATAATATTAAATTAATTTAAAAAATAATTACTAAGCATTAAAATCCTAAGAGGAAAGAATCTGATAATATAGGAACTCTTAAACAGATTTGGGGACTATAACTGAGGGGCAAAAACTAGACTAGTAAATACATATTGATTGTATTGTAATATTGTTGGCATATAATATTATTATTATAAGCCAACAGTTTACGCAGCACTTTAAAACAAGTGTCAAGTGTCAAGATATACAAAAGGTAATAAAGGTAATAACTGTAGGGGATGAGCTGATGGAGAAAGCAAAAGTATAGGCTGGATAGGCTTCTCTGAAGAGAAGGGTTTTAAGGGATCATCTAAATGTGGACAGAGTAGGAGATAGTCAGACAGATTGGGGTAGGGAGTTTCATAGGATGGGAGAGGCTCAAGCGAAGTCCTGGAAGAAAGCATAGGAAGAGGTGACAAGGGAGCTAGAGAGCAAGAAGTCTTTGGAGAAACAAGAATGATTAAGCTGGCATTTTGAGACCAGGATAGTGATGTAGCTCTAGACAAAGTTGTGGATGGCTTTAGAAGTTGTTTTGAATTTATTTAGTTGGGTGAGCGGAAGTCAATGGAGGGATCGGCAGAGAGGGGTGGTGGACACTGAACGGTTGGTAAGGTGGATGAGTCTGGCAGCAGCATTCATGATGGACTGAAGTGGGGATAGCCTAGGTAAAGGTAAACCAATGAGGAATGAGTTGCAGTAGTCAAGGTTAAAGATCACCAGAGAGTGAATCGGAAGCTTTGTGATGTCATTAGTTAGTAATTAGTTAAGAAGGTGTGTATTTTGGAGATGTTGTGTATTTTGAGGCAGCACGCTTTGGACAGTGATTGGATGAGGGGCTGAAAGGAGAGTTCAGAGTCCAGGGTAACACCTAGCACCCTGGCATGGGGGGATGGGTTGATAATTGTGCCATTGATCTTGACAGAAAAGTCAGGGGAAGGTGCCCATGGGCTAGGACATATTATAAGCTCGGTTTTGGATAGATTGAATTTGAGGAAGTGTGATATCCAAATTGATATATCCAGACTAATAATACTAATTATTATTGTTTTGTTTTAGCTATAGCTGTTTTAATTTAAATCATCCACAGTTTTTGAATACTTATTATTTTTTTCAATCTCTAGTAGCATACAGAATAAGATAACTATGTTACCCTGTTATTCTATGACATTTTAAAGTCAAATAGCATAATGCTGAAGATAACTATGACTTTCCTGATAGAACAACATAATAGAAATGTATCCTATTGGCTATACAGGCTGCTTTACAATAGAGAAAAATTTTTCTGCATAGCAATACTTATTAAATGTAAAAAAGCTCAATTATAAAGAAATTTAATAATCTTTAAAACATTTTTGTTGGTGTAGAAATGACAAAAATCATACATGATAAAATATCCAGCAACATCCACTGTGAAGAGCAGACTTTTGATATTAATTATATAGGGATAAGAATATTATGTATTGCCCTTTTATAAACTTAATTTAACTGGAAATAAATGGATTTCAAATATACTCTTTTTTTTTTCTAATAAAACACCAAGAGAGATAACTTATCACAATTATATGTAAAAAAAAAACAATTTTCAAACGCTGCTCGAAAAAGTTACTTAAATAATTACTTTTGGCCACATGATTTGGACCCTGTAGAACAGGGACCCACACTGCTTTCAGTGCCTCAGTTTTACTTGACTCCTGCGAGCTTTGAATCATTCAGTGGTCTGGGGTGGATTACTCTATTATACAAATACTACCTGCATTGATACGGTAGGCGCAATGTCATGGTTTTGGGTCAATTTTTCTATTATAAGACATAGTTCACGTTACAGTGGATGTAGAGGAACACTCCACACAATGGGGTTGATTTTCTAAAGGCAAATACAAGGGTTCTTCAAAAAGTTTCCACACTTTCTTTTTAAACTCAATTATATATATAAAAGCGTGGAACTTTTTGAAGACCCCTCGTACATTGTTCACTTTGCAAGTGAAGTTGCGCTCTGCAAAGGAACGTTACCCAAAGCTTAGTGAATGTGATGAAACTTCACCTTGCAAAGAATACCTAATCACGTGCAGGGAACGAAAAAAACTATTTTGCTTGCATATAATTGGATGATAGATATAATGTTGATCCATGGAGTCACCTTGTTTTTTAGGTATCAGAATCTCAGTATTTCCAGGGTGTATGAGCAGCCTTGCATAAACTAGATGCACCAACCAGCTAAAAATCTTGCTATCACATGAGAGGTAACAAGCTGGGATTTGACATTGTAAATCAATACCAAGCTCACGGCTACAGCAGCAGCTGTAAGCATATTATAATACATTTATAAACCCTTTGAAAGACATTTATAAATGTACCTTGGCAGCCAAGAGTTTAAGCAGCATGCTGATCAATGTCAGTAGTTACACAGAGCTAATCACCTTCACCCCTCTCTTAACTTGACAGTGCTCAAGTCCGGAGAGTGGCTGCTTAGGCCAGAGCACTGCACCCTGGGAGCAAAAAGAGAAGGACACAACACCCGTATATAGCAAGAAATTTTTTTTTTAACTGATGGGATTCTCTATATAGTTTCTATAATTTTTCTATAATATCAAATATGCTAAAAATCAAATAAGGAGAGTGAGAGTGTGGAGATAGATTTTCAGATCTGGAATGTGCGTGTACTAGAATCCATTACATAGCTGTAAACCATTTATAAATTATTTACCGTATATACTCGAGTATAAGCCGACCCGAATATAAGCCGAGGTACCTAATTTTACCACACAAAACTGGGAAAAACTATTGACTCGAGTATAAGCCGAGGGTGGGAAATGAGGCACCTACTAGTCAATGTAAAAAATTGGTGCCAGTGGGAGGAATAGTGCCCCATCATTGGTGTCAGTGGGAGGAATAGTGCCCCATCATTGGTATCAGTGGGAGGAATAGTGCCCCATCGTTGGTGTCAGTGGGAGGAATAGTGCCCCATCGTTGGTGTCAGTGGGAGGAATATTGCCCCATCATTGGTATCAGTGGGAGGAATAATGCCCCGTCATTAGTATCAGTGGGAGGAATAGTGCCCCATCATTGGTGTCAGTGGGAGGAATAGTGCCCCATCATTAGTATCAGTGGGAGGAATAGTGCCCCATCATTGGTGTCAGTGGGAAGAATAGTGCCCCATCGTTGGTGTCAGTGGGAAGAATAGTGCCCCATCGTTGGTGTCAGTGGGAGGAATAATGCCCCATCATTAGTATCCGTGACACCAATGATGCGGCACTATTCCTCCCACTGACACCAATGACACTTGCTGACCCCTGTTGCAGTATGGTGCTGCTGTAGCCAGCATATGTGGTTGCAGCAGCACCTCTGCACTGCACACTTACCGGCTTTTCCCTCACTCGATTTTCGCGGGTCCGCTCGGCTCTGCCTCCTCGCCCGTGATTGGCCGCCTGTGTACCTTTCCTGAGCTACAGAGTGAGGGAGTGGCCGGAGTGACAGAAGGAGCAGCGCTTCCTGGATGGATCATCGTGGGATCGGAGCCAGGTAAGAGACAGCAGCCCTCTGCCCACCCCTGTACGTGCCCCCCTTGACGGAGCCTCGCGCCCCCCCTGTGGGGCGCACCCCACTATCTGCAGATGTTGACTCAAGTATAAGCCGAGGGGGCCGTTTTTCAGCACAAAAAATGTGCTGAAAAACTCGGCTTATACTCGAGTATATACGGTACCTCCTTTCCTGCAAGTATTGTGCCCATTGCATGCACTGCTAAATTATTATTATTATTATAGAGGATTTATATAGCGCCAACAGTTTGCTCAGCGCTTTACAATATAACGGGAGACAATACAATACAAACAGTAACAATACAGTTCAATACAAGAGGGATTTGAGGGCCCTGCTCCTTGGAGCTTACAATCTAGAAATTACTTCAGATTGCCCCCAAATTTATGGCGCAGAGAGAGTGCAAGGCAAGTATAAGAGGTTACAGAGCCACCAAGTGCCACCAAATCCAAAATAAGAAAAATGCTAAGCCTTTACATTTATAAATCAATAACATTTCTTCTTAATTTAAATTTGAACTCCAGAAAACTGCTAAGTACAAATAATAAATACATATAAGTGGGGTATTTCATCTGCCAAAGGAATTGTATTTCGATCACTCAAGGTCTAAGATTTTACAAAGCTGCAGCACTTGAAGATTCCACTTTTGGTATTCCCACTGGTAAAATATTCCACCATAGAACATGAATCGTAATTGATCAGACAGTGAGATCTTGATGAATCATAGGGCCAATATACATTGTAGATCAAACCTTATAAAGTGCTGCACTTAGCTATGCACTCATCAACCACCATTGAAATCTAAAGACAGTATTTTACCAAAGGTTCGGAATCCAAATGTTAGAGGTCAAATGTGCTTATGGATGGCAAATTTGCATACAAGATTAAAAGGGACATTGAAATTTTCAACTGCCAGAACTGTTCTCCCAACAATGTACTGTCAGCTTTCCTTCAGATGTCCCCAAAATAAAAAAAAAGTACAGATCATCTATTACTTAAAGCGTATTTGTACCCTAAAGGGGAAATTCTGCTTTATGCCCCCCCCCCCTTCTATTTTTGGCACTTTTTGAGGGAGTAGAAGGTACCTGATTTTGACAGGTACCCGATCTCCCTTTCGGTCGAATCACTGCAGTGATACACAAAAAATTCTCCCCCCCTCCACCTGCAACCTTCTCGGACATGTCACAGGCCCCACAAGGCTGTGAGACCATTCACATAGTGTAGCGTGACTCGTACATGCACAGTGAGCAGCAAAGAATCACAGTTGGCTGTCCACTGTAAACATGGTGGTGCTGGGGATCCAAAGACCAATGAAGAGCTGATTCGAGCACGGATGGAGCTGGACCCCTTTGCATTAAAAGTCAACAGCTACAGTAATTGTGGCTGCTGACTTATATTTTTTTTTGCAACCAGGGCGAAGAACCAGTTTAATAAAAACTTAAGATATTACCTTGCATTGATGGTTAATGTATGCACATCTAAGGAGTCTCACTTGAAGTGTTTCACTTTATAAGGATTTGATCTAGAAAGTGCATTTGACTTCTGATTTATCTGGGTTTCACTGTCAGGTAAGTTGCTATTTCTGATCTATGCAGTTGTGATTACAAAAAGCTGCCATTTTGGAAAATGTACTTTTATGAAAATCAAATGTCAGTGTGTTCTTTCTGCCTGCTGTTATTGTAATTTATTTAGTATCACACATACTTGGTTTTATAATTTATTTTATTAGCACAGACTTACAGATAGACATGAGTTTAGGTAATACAGGTCTTGTCCCTCCCCCAGCTTGTGGATGGACAGTAAAAGGAGCAGCAGCAGACTAATGAGTTCATCTCTCTGTCACTCTGCTCTCCACTCATAATCATGTTTTTTTCAAGACATAAGCCCAGCCACCTCCCTGGCATCCTTCTGTTGCTTCTCTTTCCCAGTTGGAGCTCTGCTTTATAGAAGATTGCAAGGTGCTGATACTAAAGTACTTACACTGCTTGCATTAAAACAAGGACATTTTAATGATGAAATAAAAAAAAAAATACAGAGCTAGCTACATTAACCTGTGTCCTTAATATCTGCCTAGAGTTTTAAAATGAGACATCTGCTGTGCTAAAGACGAGTCCCCCCCCCCCCAAAAAAAAAAAAATTAAGAGTCAGTAGCTACAAATACTGTAGCTGCTGACTTTGAATATTTGCACACTTACCTGTCCAGGCATCCAGCAGTGTCCTCACCTGAGCCGATTCTTCAATCAGCTATCGGATGCAGGTGCCACCATCTTGCCTGTGGGAAACCAAAGCCTTGCGGATTCACAGCTGGTTTCCTACTGCGCACGCACAGTATTGTGAATGGGATGCAGTCTTCTGGGACCTGTGAAATATCCTAGAAGGCTGAGGAAGAAGGAGGGTGGCAAACTTCCAGGTCAGTTTGCCACGGTGAACTGAGCCGGTAGTGAGAGCGGGTACTTGTCAAAACCAGGTATTCTCTCTGCTCTCCCCCCCCCCAAAAAAAAAAGGTGCCAAATGTCAATGGGGGAGAGGAGGCAGACAAGCCGAGCTTCCCGTTTTGGGTGGAACTCCACTTTAGGTATGCAGTAATAATGCCCAGTAGTATTTACAATGCCAGCCCAAGGCCTACATTAAAAAACTCATGGGAAAGTGATTGTATACATGGTATTTTTAACAATAGTATTATTCATGGTCATGATAGGGATTGCCTACAATGCCTAGATAGCCATGGTGATCTTTGAAGTAAGAGCCACTGATATAAAGCCCTGAAATAATAGTGAATGAACTCAATCCTACATGCTGTAACTGGTGTATCACCAATTGTTATATACCAGAACTGTTAACTGTTTTGTATTTCACATCTAGAAAAATCAAGAAAGCAACAATGCAGTGCCCGGAAGATTCTGATCCTCCTTTTTGCTGCTGGAGTTGTCACGGGGACAGCGGTGGGAGTTTACATATTAGGTATAATTATTATATATATAACATATTTTGGTTTGTGGTGGTTGCCAAATCAGCAAACTCCAGTGATATCTTGGTAGTGATGGTTTCCTTTTTCCATACCCATATGCCATCCTATTTAATGCATTATTGACCATAGCAGGTTAAACAGTGAATATATAATTAATGATTACCAATGAATTAATATGGATAATTAATAAATGATTAAAACAAACAGGCACTGGGACTTAAAACATTTTTGTGCAGTTAAACAAGCCTCAAACAAGCACGATAGACTCCAAGATACTTTCATTGTTCATAAAGATGAAGAGGGGGTGTTTCGACCCCTGAAAAATATGACCAATTATGAAACATAATGTATGAATCATTAGGTAATCTTGGAATATTTCATTTCTTTTTGGTCTGGCTCTCCAGTTTTCTTATGACTTGTGTAACCAAATAGACAATGCATTTAAACTGGCTCCCAGTCTACTAGCTGAGTGAATCTACCACAGCTGGCTGCCCCATTTTTTAAATCCATACTATTTCTCATCATTTTTATCAACGTAATAGCCCTTAATCCTATTCTGGTAAATGCTGCCTAAATGTACCTTCATTCACGCCCAGCCCTCTTTATAGGGACCTTATATGTACATTGGGAAGAGGAAGGTCATAGATTGCAGAATTATATAACAGGAGCAGCTTCAGCAATGTTACAATATTTCTGGAGTAGCATTGGCAGTTCAAAGAAAGACTTGATTTGTACATTTAAATGCCCTTTTATAAGCTCTTTTACACAATTTAACATTCACTAGTCCATCATTTGCCAGTAATTAGTGAAATATATTTGTTTTATTTCTCCCCACCAATCTCTGCAGTCTACAGTACCAGAACTTGCCAGCAGTACCGACAACTTGCTGAAATTCACAAGCACTTTGTGGTATTCCCCGTGTTTGAGAACACATATAGATAAAATATGAACTAATAAGGAGCTCTGTAAGCACATTATGCAAACTCCGCATTTAGAATAAAATATTCATAAAGAAAGAAATCAAGCCTCGAGCCTTTTTATGGCTAATATACATTTTTTCTATGTGAAAGCCGTGAGACTGCACCGCAGGCAAAATGTGCCACTATAAAGTGTAAAATATAAAACTTAAAAACTCTGGCGATGAGAATATATACATTTACAGCATTGCATAAGGGCTTTGTGTTAAATTCCTAAAAATCAAAGACTGTTTAAAATGAGGAATTCTCATTTCACCAGCATTAGGCCGCTTGATAGCCCGTTATTCAGAAAGCAATGTCTTTCAATACTCATACATTTAATTTAAAGGAAAAAATTAAATAGTCCCCAGTTTACCAATTGGTGCACTACAGTCAGACACAGCTCATGCTATTACCTCCTAGATTGTAAGCTGGAAAGAGCAGGGCCCTCGAACCCCTCATGTTTTGCATTGTATTGTTATTGTTCTGTCACATGTTCTGTCCCCCTTTGTAATGTACAGCGCTGAGCGAACTGTTGGCGCTTTATAAATACTGTATAAATAATAATAATATAATAATATTACCAATATACAATGAGCTGTGCTAAAGTAAACAAATATGGATAAAGGAGTAGAATATGAATAATCTGAAGAATATACACTATATTGCCAAAATTATTGGGATGCCTCCCTTTACACGCACATGAACTTTAATGGTATCCCAGTCTTAGTCCGTAGGGTTCAATATTGAGTTGGCCCCGCCCTTTGCAGGTATAACGGCTTCAACTCTTCTGGGAAGGCCGTCCACAAGGTTTAGGAGGGTGTCTATGGGAAGGGTTGATCATTCTTCCAGAAGCACATTTGTGAGGTCAGGCACTGATGTCGGGGGAGGAGGCCTGGCTTGCAGTCTCCACTCTAATTCATCCCAAAGGTGTTCTATGGGGTTGAGGTCAGGACTCCTGTACTAAGGAGAATAGTTATAATATTGAGCATTTAATGTACTGATGTAATGCGTATATATATTTTTTAATTTCACTCCAAGTGTCAAAATATATTTTGAATGTAACTTCATGCACTTTCAGAGAGAAATAAAAAGAATCAGAAATATCTATATTTTGCTTTACACACATCAGTTTGTTTATATAAATGTGGTTGTAGGTGGCAAATAATTCTGAGCGCTAAAAACTAAACCTGCATCATTCATGTCTCTCTATTTTAATTGGTTTTCCTTGACAGCTTGTTTGGCAGTGCACCCTGCAGAGATCATACAGACCTTTACACTGAAGTATCCACTGCTCAGATATTCCTGCCTGGAAAAAGTGTTCATAATTAATAAATGTTTTACTGTGTGATTTATTACCAACATTATGTATAATTAATTAGGATCTTAACAGCAACAAGATAGAGTTCCATTATTTCTCATTTACATTTGAAGCAGCAAGTTCATGTTTATGACAAGACTACACATGATGTAAATGTAAAACTAGAAAATCAGAAATAAGATTGCTATTTTTGTGCTGGTTGGAAGAATGTTCAGAGATTAGTCCTACTATGTTAATTTTGTGGGGGTATATCACATACTGTATGTAACTGTGACTACTGTTCCATAATGAGTGAACTTAATAGGAGGGAGGAACAGTGTCTTGCAGAACAAGATGATTATGTAACCACCGTCTTTCTTTTAAACCATTCTTTTTTTGACCAATTTTACAACAACTGATAAACTGTTAGGATGATTACAGAACCCGAGAAAGAGAACAATCATTTTATTGCTTTTAATGCTTGCAGTGCAGTATTTGATGAAGCCCCTCATTTACCAAGGTTCCATTTCATTACAAGATGCTGAGGTGACCTCTCGATGCAATGACACTGAAAACAACGAAGTGGCTACAGTTCCACGCAGAAAAGGTTTGTGAATATATCATTACTAATTAGCCATCATAACCGTGTCACTGTGAAATTAGTTAATATGCTTTGGCTCATTTTTTTCAATTCAGAAAGACGAAGCACAAATTTTAGTTTATTAAAGAAAACATACCTAACGGCCTTTAATTAATAAGGCAAATAGCAAAGAACGCAGAGTAGTAGCTTTTTCCAGCCAATTATAAATCACATTTAATTGGTCCAACTGCACTAAGCATCTGGATATCAATGTGCTTCATGCCATGTTACTTCAAATCTCCTATAAACATTTACTTAAAGGGTGTTCAACGGGAACTTTTAGCTAAAGTCCTCCAGTTACAGCTGCTATGAGATGGGAAACTGAAAACAGGTTATCACATTCTAATATTATAAGCATTGATCAGCAATTACCCTTCTTCCCCTTCCTTTAGCTTCTATAAGATTTTGGAATTTGTCTATTGGAGTTTGTGCCCATTTGTCAAAAAAGAGCATTTGTGAAGAAGTACTTAGATGGGAAGGTTTGGTTCACAATTTGTGTTTCAATCCATCCCAAAGGTTTTCAGAAGGGTTGAGATCATGGTTCTGTGCATGCCACTAGAGTTGCTCCACACCAAATTTGTCAGCACATGTATTCAATCACTTGGTTTTATGCTGCTAGAACAGAAAAGGGCCTTCTCCAAACTGTTGCCCTGGTTGGAAGGGTTCAATTGTCCACAATGCCTCTGTACACTATAGCAAGACTACTACACTATTTCTATTTTCCTTCAATGGAAACATCTGAACTCGATAATTTGGATTGGCATGTACATACTTTTGGACACATAGGTAGGTGTGATCTCCACAAATTTAGTGTAGGTAGTAAGAGGGCCCTCCTTTCCATTGGTGATCATTTTGGTCTCTATACTGACAAGACCTTAACCGCTTTCCCCGCCACACTATAGCAGATATACTGCTACAGGGCAGCAGGGGTGTATATATACATGATTTTTCACTTCCGGGTAGGGGGCGCGCGTGATCCCTACCTGCACTGCTATTCGGGGACACTGAGCATTAACAACGGGGGGAGAGAACTGTATGTAAACAAGACAGTTCTCTCCCCTGTCAGCTCCTGCACACTGCTTTGTATGGCTGTGCATAGCAGAGCCATACAAAGCAGCGTGCTTACATTTAAGTACACACACACAGCTTACAGTAAAACAGCACACAGTTAACCCTTTGATCGGCCCACATGTTAACCCCTTCCTACCAAGTGCCATTACTACAGTGTCAATGCTTTTTATTAACACTGATCACTGTATTGTTGTCACTGGGGATGTCAGTGACACCAAGTCAGTTCCCCCCAGTGTCCGAATGCCTGCCGCTGTCCTGCTATAAGTCGCTGATCGCTGCTATTACTAGTGAAAAAAAAAAATCCCAGTATATATACCGCCATTTGTAAACACTATAACTTTCACGTATACCAATTAATTTACACGTATTGGGCTTCTTTTTAGCAAAGACATGTAGCAGAATACATTTTGGCCTACACTTATGACTAAATTTGATTTTTTTAAAACATTTTTTACTGGACACGTTTAATAGCAAATAGTCAAAAATATTGTTTGTTTGTTTTTCAAAATTGTCAGTCTTTTTTTTTATAGTGCAAAAAATCACAGAGGTGATGAAATACCACGAAAATAAAGCTGTATTTGTGGGAAAAAAAAGGACGTACATTTCATTTGGGTGCAGCATTGCATGACCGCGCAATTGTCAGTTAAAATAACATAGCACTGTAACGCAAATAATGGCCTGGTCAGGAAGGGGGGTAAATCCTCTGGAGGGCAAGTGACTAATAATGTTTAACTGTTTCAATGAAATTATAGTAGTAGGTCCAGTAAAGTTCCTAATGTCAAAGAACACACAGCAGAGGTTCTGGTAAAAGATCACATGTGGTGGTTAGTGAGCAGGGGCAGACTGACCATTTGAGCACTCGAGCACTGCCCGAGGGCCCGTGGTCAGTAGGGGGCCCCATGAAATGCCCCTGGTACCTTTTTAGGCTTTTTTGAGTGTGGGCAAGGACACAGGGGCCCCATGATCCCCTATTCCCTGGGGGCCCCATGAGTTGTCAGTCCGACCCTGTTGGTGAGGTGATGTTTGGCTGCGCTTCTTGGATGAAGATCATAGTTTCAGTTATAGATGCAAAGATTTCTTGATGGAGAGAAATGGAAATGGAGAGGAAGAAAGGAAATGGTTTAACTGCTGCTGGAAATGGAAGAACTGCTCTGGTTAGACAGCCCCATCATCTATCATGACCTGAAAGTTCTAAATCAAAGATGTTTTTTCAGATTTTATCAAAATTCGATTTACATTTGATGTGGTCATTTAAGCTAACTAGACATGGTACCTATAGTATGTGTAAAGTAATATATTGTATGTTGTATTTATTCTGTGATATGAGGAAAGTATTAGCCAGCTAATACATTATGAAAAGTACAGTTATCTGAAAATATAATTTATTCGCACACTGACCGCCCGGTCAAATAGTGATGATAGATCGGCTTCATCTTGTTCCTTGTCCTTCAATAAGGTACCCCCCAATTTTAAAAGGCATGTTACCTGCTGTGGTTCAGGTGGGCCACACATTTGATGCCCTGTCTTTCCTGGCCAAGACAAGGGTAAGGGTCTGGTTGGAATTTTTTTTTTTACATTTTATTAAAGTATACCTTGCCATTAACAAATTGGGGGGAAAGAGTGCTCCCCAAAAAAATTTCAACTAGGCTCTTATCCAGGTATGCACCCTGGGTGTCTAGGAGAGGGCGGGCAGCAAGCATGCAGCTCCCTTCTTGAACAGAGGGGATAGTAAAACCTCTCCCTCTTGCATAACACCCTTTCTTCATGTTGAGGGACAAGGAGCTCTTCATTCTGTCCCCCAAAAGGGATGTAAGCGTTTATGAGGAATCTGTAAGCCTCCTATGTATTAAAGGGGACCCCAAATATCCACTTCCCCACCCAAATAGAATGAATATGGATACATCTAGAACACTTTTTAATCATTCTCAAAATGTCAAAAGCAAATAAACACCCACACCATGAGAAAGACCTGCAATAAAAATACCCCAAAACACCCAAAAATTTAAACAATGTGTATTGATAAATGTAAATCTATTGGCAATCATGTAAGTCCCCTTTAATAATAATGGGGCCCCCAAATAGCACCCCCCTCAACATGAATGGGTAAGGGTATACAAATGACCCCTACTCATTCACACACAAAAAAAAAAATAACCAAAAAAATAAAGACACCCAAGCATTTGACAAATCTTTTATTTTAAAAAAATTAAATCCCCAAAAAGTCCCTTATTGTAAACCCATGGTCTGTCATGATGCCTGACACCTCACCACGCGACCCAGCACAAATGACTAATACCAATGATAGCAGTAGCTAAATGACAGCTCCCCAAGCTGCCACCAGCTATATAAGAGAAGGGGTGGGGATATCCGTGAAATAATTGCCCAGAAATGGCCCTTGGCCATATTTGGGCAGTGATGACACTACTATCCCTGCCCTTTTGCTTACGTGGCAGGGGATTCCCAACCATGAAAGGCAATGTGCCATGACATCTGCAGTTCCTAGGCACGTGGCAGGTGAAGTCACCTGTTTCTTCTTCAGAAACCAGTGACGGTGGGAAATATATAGCAGCAATAAAAATACTGCTTTTATATATAAAGCTCAGTTCCTGCTGAACAAGGGGCTGGACAGGCAAAAGTTCAGGAATGCCTGAACAGCCAATGCTTGGTCTGAAACAAAATAATATAAGTGGTGAAGCGCTCAACTTAAATAATCAAAAAAACTTGTGCATTAACCCCATATGTAAATATTACATCCCTAGTGATATAATGATAAACAAATAATACCTCTTAAGCTATGAAAATATACAAATAATAATAAATAAAAAACTAGTGCAATATCCTCATATATGCATAATATATCCCTGGTGGTGTAGTGATGAACAACTAATAACTCTTAAACTGTGCAAAAGTGATACTTAAATACAATTAATGAAACCAATTTGAATAAAGTATTAATTACAATAAATTAGATAGTGATGCCACATTGTGCAAAAACATAGGAAAGTGTTCAAATAATGTCACTCCATGCTGCAATAGTGCTCTTCGTGAAAATCTTGACGTGACTCCCCTCAATAATAGCCAAAATGCCCCCTCACCTTCCACATTCGACCCTTGCGGGCGTCACAGAGCTTTTTATATATATATATATATCTCTGCCAGATATTATTCTCCTCCACCGACCATGATCCTCCTCCAGGCAGTAAGTTACACTCCAATAACTCCCCTCACCAGACGGACTCTGCCAGATATTATTCTCCTCCACTGCCTCCACCGACCAAGATCCTCCTCCAGGCAGTAAGTTACACTCCAATAACCCTCACAAAATGGACTCAGACACAGGGCGCATATGGAAAACAAAAGCAAACCTCCATAGTGCAACACTGTTTAATGCACTTCAACGGTACAATGAAACATTACACTCACATGTCCTCCAATAAAGTGAAGCAGTTCCCATGTACTATGGGTGTATACAGGTGTCCAAAGATGGCGTCCGAACCCGGAACCGGAAGTACGTCACCCCTATGACCGGAAATACGTCTACCCGTTGCGCCACGATTCACGTGGCTTCTTCAGGATACCTGAAGGGTATCCTGAAGAAGCCACGTGATCGTGGCGCAACGCGTCAACGTATTTCCGGTCATAGGGGTGACGTACTTCCGGTTCCGGGTTCGGACGCCATCTTTGGACACCTGTATACACCCATAGTACATGGGAACTGCTTCACTTTATTGGAGGACATGTGAGTGTAATGTATCATTGTACCGTTGAAGTGCATTAAACAGTGTTGCACTATGGAGGTTTGCTTTTGTTTTCCATATGCGCCCTGTGTCTGAGTCCATTTTGTGAGGGTTATTGGAGTGTAACTTACTGCCTGGAGGAGGATCTTGGTCGGTGGAGGCAGTGGAGGAGAATAATATCTGGCAGAGTCCGTCTGGTGAGGGGAGTTATTGGAGTGTAACTTACTGCCTGGAGGAGGATCATGGTCGGTGGAGGAGAATAATATCTGGCAGAGATATATATATATATATATATATATATATATATATATAAAAAGCTCTGTGACCCGCAAGGGTCGAATGTGGAAGGTGAGGGGGCATTTTGGCTATTATTGAGGGGAGTCACGTCAAGATTTTCACGAAGAGCACTATTGCAGCATGGAGTGACATTATTTGAACACTTTCCTATGTTTTTGCACAGTGTGGCATCACTATCTAATTTATTGTAATTAATACTTTATTCAAATTGGTTTCATTAATTGTATTTAAGTATCACTTTTGCACAGTTTAAGAGTTATTAGTTGTTCATCACTACACCACCAGGGATATATTATGCATATATGAGGATATTGCACTAGTTTTTTATTTATTATTATTTGTATATTTTCATAGCTTAAGAGGTATTATTTGTTTATCATTATATCACTAGGGATGTAATATTTACATATAGGGTTAATGCACAAGTTTTTTTGCTTATTTAAGTTGAGCGCTTCACCACTTATATTATTTTGTTTCACATATCTTGCGGTATAGAGAATAGGTGTTAGCAGCTTACTCACTAGGTTCTGTGGAGCGCAGGGGGATTTCTGTATATCTATTAATGCTTGGTCTGAGCCTAGGTTCAAAGTGAACCGTTGGCTCATCCCTAGTGTCTGAAGAAGTTTTCCTCCCCACCTTCCCAGTATTGGGTCTGTTTGAAAAAAAACACCAATCACTGTCACAGTGCTTTCTCATTCTAAGAGTGATATTCCAGTTAGAACTTGAAGAGGAAATACACCCACTGATTTAACAGTTTCCCAAAACTGTGTCATTCAGATCATGTATTTGGTGAAAACTGTCACATGCTTATATCAGCTCTTTGTTAAATTTGCAAGCTTTCAAATGGCTGGTGATAGCTAAGCAATACAAACTGTAGATCTAAGATTTCTTTAAGATTTCAGGAATGAGATCTCTCTGCCATTGCGATAGACTTTCTTTTCACAAACTCCTCGGAACTTTGGGTATTCCTGCCTATCTTTGAGGGTTTCCCATTCCTCCAGTTACATTAGCTAAAATATAAAATAGATCACAAATCCAACATAAGGAAGGAGACCCCTTCTAATGGACCCATCAGATGTGCTGGCTTGAGAACTTGAGAACAGAGATCTCTTTGCTGGAGTCCTGAGAGACAGCAATCTTTGTAGATGAACTTAAACCCTACGATATCTACCAAAAGCTGAAAAAGTACTTACTGTATGTTCCCTCCCTAAACCCAGCCTTGTTTGGCGGCGCAAAAGACACTCTTAAGTTTTCTATCTTTGCAAAAGATTTACAAGAGAAGCCAAATACGTACTTACGGTAAGTGATTTTTACAAATGACCAAGCCACCTGTTTCCAAGCACAACCAATTTCAGTGCATTTGGTAATACCATATGATCTCGTGAGATCTAACAGGGCAAAGTCATAGGGCTTTCATGGTATATTACATAAATTATTGTTGTTTGGTCATGTCTCTCAGTGAAAACATTCTTTCATTTAAAATGGTTTCAGTATCTTTCAGAATAAACACAGAAACCTTCTTGTTGGAAGTACAGGTGGAATATAGACAAGAATGGCTCCTAACCTGCCATGAAGGATGGAACTCAGCTTGGGCAACACTTGTATGTAAACATCTAGGTTATATCAGGTACGATATTCCACTGCAATATAAAGGAGTAAAATATAATTTACAACCTGTTATTTCAGTTTCAAATCTATTACATTCCGAGAGTCTGCACCTGGTTGCACCACTATAGAAGCAGTCATTTAAAACAATCTAATATCCTATCTATCTATCTATCTATCTATCTATCTATCTATCTATCTATCTATCTATCTGTCTGTCTATCAATCTCTATATATTCATATCTATCTATATATATCTTGTATGTCAGCACTGACTATCAATGGAATGCTAATGAGACTCAATGGGAATTCTGATTGTATTCAGTCCTTAACTCTAAAGTGAGACTGCCATGTTTCTCATGTACATCATGCATTTGGTGAATTTTGGGTTTCAGATGTTTAATTGTGTTCTTTTAAGGTATGGTTGGGATTTTTTTTATTAGAAATAATTACACTAGATGACAAATTTTGTAAAAATGTTTGCTTCCTGAAAAGCCTTCAGTGATTAACACTTCTTCAAACTTTCCACAAATATAATTTCTGAATGACTGTATCACATAAAGACTATAAAGTGTTTAATCACAATGTTTCACATGCACAGCATAAGTTCATCAGGACTACTAAATTTTTTTTCTGCTGATTTCTATTTGGACTGGTGCATGCTGCTGCAGTGTCCAACAATAGTCAGCCACAATTGTTGGGTTCTAGTTGCCCTGTTACTATTTTCCATTGTGGCAATGTCCTGGTGAAATCTTTACCCATGTTCATCACTGACTGCAACTAGATTTTTAGGAAATAAGTCCGAGTGTGGATGCAGAAAAAGAATCTTCAGTGACATGTTGTGGTTTATGGTCTTGTAAGCTGTAAGAAGTTTGTAAACCAGCGGAAAGTACTTTGGTGTTCTGTAGTTGTGAAGAAAATTCTCAACAATGTCCTTGAAAGCTTTTCATATGATTTTCTCTGACCCTGTTAACATATCTTCAAACCACTTTTCATTGATGAGGTAAAAGATCTGTGTGCCAACAAAAATGTCTTCCTTAATCTTGTCTCAAATAATAAACCTTCACCCTCCTTGTTCATCTCTTTCAATACATTTTTCATCAGTCCAACTTAAATTTAATGCGGAGGCAAAAATATCTTTGTTGGGTCAACAAGTGGTTTATGTGTCAAGTTTTTCTATTCCAGAACCAAACTCTTTGAGGGTGGTCATTTCTTTTTAATGTAATGTGACTCTCTTGCATGGCTGTCTAATTTGAATATGTAATAAAGTTCTTAGTATGTCCAAGCTGCATTCCAAGCAGCAGAGCTACTACTTTTAGATCTGCATAGATATTCCAGTTGTACTTGGTGTACTGGATGTGCTTCAATAACAGTCCCACGTTTTTGTATCTTTAATTCATATGTACAGTATAGCCAATAGATATTGCAAAAACAGAAGATTTCTATAAAGCAGTACATGATAGGTTAAATTATGGTTAATTTCATGATTAGCCATCAAAAATCTAAAAGACATACCAAAACATGTTTAGGAAGCAAAATGTTAGTTGTCCAGTGTTGTCAAAGTATCCAGCAATGTATAACATACTCTTTCTGTTGTGTTTCTAAATAACTTTCCAAAGGCTTATCCAACACAAAGCTGTAAATCTGACAAACTACAGGCTAAATAACACTCAAGGATTTGCACAGATCCCTCTTACTCAGACCAGTTCAGCAAAACATATTTGGCAAACCAGGTAAGTTACTAACTGAATTAAGTACATATTTTAAAGCAAAATAACTTGACATATTCAATAACCAAATTAAAAGCTGGCCATACATGATTAGATGTCTTTCATTCAGCTTGCAGGATAATTAAAAAAAAATTATATATATATATCAGATTCCTCCATCCACGCTTTACAGCATGGATGGGTGATTTTCCCCTAGCTGGGCTATTATAACAGCTGCCTCAATGGCTGCCAGAATACCTGAACAGCGGTTACATCCAATCAGACAATTTTCCTTCTGGCTCCTTTTGATTTTTTCTTTGAAGGACATCGGATGGGAAGGGTGGACAGAGACACCCACTAAATTAATTTGAGCTTGTCCATTGGGAACAGACCGAAATACAAATACTATGTGGCCAGCTAAGTGTTTGGTCTTTTATCACCATCCTCAGCTCAGTTGTTTTTACATCAGCTAATTAGCCATCGTCTACTATAAAAAAATTAGGCTTATCTTGACTGAACAAAAATCATTAAGGCCCCTTTCACATAAGTTGACCGTTGGGGTCTGCCTGTCTGTTTTTCAGGCAAACCTGATCGGTCCATCTATAGAGTTCTATTGACCGTCAGTGTCAGCAGACAATAGTCCACTTACACCCGCCGGCATCTGATCTGATCCTGTTTGGAAAAAACAGAGGGATGGGGATTTGTTCCCCATCCCTCCAGTGGATTGGATCAGATGACAATCGGGTTGAAACGGACAGGCAGTCAGTATCCATCCGACCGTCCCATTGAAATCAGTGGGCAATGTCTGTGTCAGAGACCTGTCATCAGCCTGCTCAGTGGAGAGATCCCCCGCTTAGCAGGCGGATCAGGCTGACGGATCCTCCCCATCTGAAAGGGGCCTAAGAGTGCCTTTCATATTTTGTTTATATATGCATCAATTGGTGTCATGCTATAAAAACTGCAATCAGAATGTGAAACCTTTTTTTTTTTTAAACCTCAAACTGAATATAGCATTTGTTGTGTTAAATGGTATACTGTGTGCTACAATTTCTTTCATTTTCCTGCTCAAGACTCTTTCTTGCATGTGCCTGGTAACACATTTAATAAATAACATTAAAACCAAAAAGTATTCACTGGCAGAAGCAGGTGTAATGCAGTTAACATCATTAAATAATATCTAAAGCCAAAACACGATTTTTACCATTTTGGATAGAGTAGGGAATAGTTGAATCTCATCATGGTTTTTTTTGCCATCATTGTCCCTTTGGGGAGATTTCTCTACATTTTCCGCTTTGTAGATGCAACAGGAAGTGAAAGGAGATCTCTCCAAAATGAGGGAAATTCCCTCTTAGACAGTTGTCACCAGAACAAGCGGAAATTTTTTACCTATATTATTTTCTAGTGACATCTCATAACTTTGAATTTTCCCTTTAGTCCCAAAGGCAGTGTTTTACCAGGACAAAGGGAGAGAATGGCACTGACAGCAACAAAAAAAAAAAATAGGTAAAAGTAGGAAAGCATCAGAAAGATGTGTAAAGTTCATATTTTCTTTTCCTTAAAAGTTTTATACGGTAAAACAGCCAATACCTTTTGGGACTAAAGAGGTGCCTCTTCATCAGGGCTTGGTAAAGATTATAGACAGTGCATACTGAACTTGTGTGCCTGGGGGGTTTCTAAAGGGAACTTAGAAAGCACTTTGCAGAACATTACAGGGCAAGAGCTTTGTGCTCCTGACACCTTAACTTTCTGATAAAGTGGTTCTAAAGGCAGAATTTGTTTTTACCTTAATGCATTCTATTCATTAAGGGAAAAAGCCTTCTCCATGCATTCCCTCCCCCCAATACTTACCTGAGCCCGATCTCAATCCATGACTGTGCCCAAGAGCAGTAGCTCTTACTGCTCTCTTCCTCCTCATTGAACAGAGAGGCAGCAGCAGGAGCCATTGGCTCCAGCTGATGTCAATCACAGCCAGTGAGGAGAGAAAGAGAGAAGGCAGGGCCAAACTGTGCTCTGTGTGTCAATGGACACAGTGAGCATGCATGAGTGCCCCCATATCATGTGGCTTGCTCTGGGGAAACTCAGCAGAGCCAGGGACACAAGAAGATGAGGGTTGAGGTTGCTCTGTACAAAACCATTGACCAGAGCAAGTACGTATGACATGTTTGTTATTTAAAAAAAAAAAAAAATGTTGCCTTTACAATCACTTTAAAATGACCAATTCACATTGTCCTAATTTTGTAGTGTATTCCTTGTGTAATTATGCAATTTTGTTTTCCTAGACGTGAATGTCTTTCCGGTCACGTTTGTTGCATTGAAGTGTTCAGGTGAGTCATTTCAATCAGACCAAACAGTAGGCACATTCAGACACAGAAACATACAAGGATTCCAGAGGAGCAAATGGGGTGAGCAATGTAGTTTTTTTTGGGACAACATGAGACAGGATAAAAATACAGGATTACAATTAGGGGACAGAAATTGAGCACTGTCATCCTAAGGCCCCTTTCATATGAAGGGTCTGATCATATTCATCTGTCAGTTTTTCAGATGGACCTGATCGGACCCTCCATTCAGCCCTATGGACCGGCAGGTTGTGTCCATTTACACGTGCCTACCTCCAATCAGATCCAGTCCACTTAAAAAATAAATAAATAAAGGGGGTCCACCCCTTCTCTCTAGGTCGATCAGATTGGGGCGGTTGTTGATTATAAATGGACAGCAGAGTCCATTTACTCCCAGCAGCCCATAGAGGGGGAAGGGCTCTGTCCACTCTGCATAAACCAGGAGTGCTCAACCTTTTGAAGAGTGAGGGCCACTTAAGTGATTTGGTAATCGGTCGTGGGCCATAATGAAATGAAATGGCTCAAAATTTTGAATTTTATTTTGAATAGCATAATGAACATTCTCCTCCTGCAGCCACTGAATGCTGGTGGAGGGAGAGGAGGAGAAGCCAGATTTCAGCAGTTGCAGGAGGAAAATGGAACACAAACACAAGCCATCTCTGAGGCACCCGGGTGATCTGGAAAAACTGGTCAGGATGTCTTTTCTACTCTCCATGACCTCCTATTGCGGTGATTTCTTGATGCCAACAATATGATAAGTACAGTTGTGCTCAAAAGTTTGCATACTCTGGCAGAAATTGTGACATTTTGGCATTGATATTGAAAATATGACTGACCATGACAAAAAATGCTCTTTTATTGAAGGATGATGATCATATGAAGCCATTTATTATGAAGGCCAAGGGACCCATCAGACAGCTCAGAGGGCCACATGTTTGCCCACTTTTCTCTGATCAGTAGGGAATCATCAGAGAGATCCCCTGCTGATCTAAACGGAACCTGCCCCATGTGAAAGGGGTCTAAATCAAAATGTGTCTGCACAAGCACCATCATGGCAGGATTGCCAGTGTATGTAAATCCAAACCTTTTAGTCAGTTTATTGTGCTTTGTGTCCTTTTGGGGAAATCATATATATCACAAGTGATGGGATGTACCCTATTAGATATTTGTTGAGCAAACAGAAGAACTGGAAGGAGCGGAAAGAATACCACAGGAAATATCAAGTATATAAATGAATTTAAAAAATGAAGGTTCCCGAAAAAAAACAGTATACTCACAACTGTAGGGTTGCATGAAACTCAGATGGAAGGCAAGTAATCTGATAAGGAGCTTGTGGAAAATATATATCTGTCTCCATACAGATATGGTGAGCATCTACCTTCAATGTTCCATGTTTGACAATATAGGGATCCTGGTGTGCAATGAAGTTAGAGATTTCAACCCCACTAAAGTGGAGGTGAAATCAGCAGAGTGGCCCACAATAAAGGACAAGTATTCATAGTATTTTCCCCAAAAAGTAAGTATTTATTTGGTGTGTAATAAAAAACAACTCCATCAATGCATTTCTTGGCTACCTCATCAGTTTTCATCAGATCATATGCCATAAATACTGACATTGTGCCACAAGTCATTCAAGCTGCTTTGAGTTGTTTAAATGTTCTTCCAGCTTTTTTCTTCAATCCAAACTTGCAATTTCTGCAGAATGCGGGTCCCGTTCCAAGTCTTCCAGGATTATTGGAGGAAGTGATGTCGCCTTAGGTCGCTGGCCATGGCAAGTCAGCTTGTACCTTAATAAAAAGCATGTCTGTGGGGCTCCATCGTGGCACCTAAGTGGATCATAACTGCTGCACACTGTGTGCACAAGTAAGTGTTAAAAGGCAAGCTTTCTCTGATGCTCAAAGTATCATTAAAAAGGGACCATTAGAATAGCAACAATTAAGGAGTGGCTATAGGATTATTTCTCATAATATAATCACTATTGAGTTCTCTTTGACCCTTGCATTACACTGCTTTTGCCTATCATCTGGGCCAAATTATTGGGTGGACTGAAGCTGTAGTCTGTCTAGTGGCCATTTCAACTTTGTACTACTAACTTTCTGATGTGCCAATCTCACGCCCCCCCCCCACCCCCAACCACTCTAGTGACACAACTCAGGTTGGTTTTGCCAGGAGTCTTTCTTTACTGACAAGAGAGAATGATGGACTATTGCCAGTTTTATCAGTATGACATCTGTATATTATTTAGTAAATAACCTGAAAACCTTAAATTCAAACCTAAAGTAAATATCACCCAAAACATACAGTGCTTACATAATTACATAAAGTGCAAATTATAAAAAGTGCAGAGCAACCATTATAGAAGTGTAAATTCTAATATATAAACGTGTGACTCCTTAAATACTGTATATGAAGTACTACTTAGTGTATATCCTCCAAATAAATACATTTGTCCATATAGTGCAACAGTTCCTTCAAAAAGTGCGCCTCCTGCGTGAAAATAAAGTGCTTCATACAATCACTTTCAATCTCTGTTTTTTGTGCTCCACTTCCCCTCCATGTGCCACCACCATAACAGAGAATTCACCAGACAGCCATGACCTTCTCAATTAAGAGTTGGTCTGTATGCGCTTGCATATATATATATATATATATATATATATATGGATCCCCTCTCCAGTGGGTCACTCCACTATGCTCCTCACTTATAACTTCGCCAAGCGTATAATATATATAGGAGGGAGAAAGAGAGCATCCAATAATGTAAAATACCCTTTATTAAAACTCACATAATAAATGTAAAACCATTAGTTATCCTGCTCACATTTAACAGTGCATTCCGCCCTGCATGTGGGTGTAAACACTCAATCTCTTGCCCAGCCAGCCCTGCCTCTCATTGCTCAGGCCACTTCCATAATGCAAGATTATCTCACCTTTTCTGGATTACTGGACCACCACATCCTGTAGCTCCGCCTTGACATATGTTTTGTCATGCTGATGTCATCAGGAGGAGTACTGATGTTCACAATAGCCTTGGGTGTATGGGCACTCTCCCTCCTCATTGCCTGAGACAGTAGCGGGAGCCCATTGGCTCTCGCTGCTGTCAATCACCGCCAGTGAGCCAAAGTGGAGAAAGAGAGTGGTGTGGGCCAATCCATGGCTCTGTGTCTTATGGACGCATAGTGCAGCGGCTTGGGAGCAAGCACGTAGCAGTGCCCCCAAGGCAAGCAGCTTTCTCTGGGGGCACTGCTTGAGGTGGAGGAGCCAGGAGAGCCAGCGGGAGACCCAAAAAGAAGATGATCAGGGCAGCTGTGTGCAAAACTACTGCACAGAGCTGGTAAGTATGGCATGTTTGTTATTTTATTTTTTTTAAATGAAGCTTTAGTATCTCTTTAAAGTATATGTGAGTATACCTGAGATTGGCCAGAGCTCCATGAATATGCAGATTAGGCCTCCACCCCTTCCTGCTAACTGACTTCTGAAAGGTTCTACAGTCCCCCAGAGTCAAGAGGAGTCGATAGAGCCACAACCTGTTCAAGCATCCAGCTGACCCTCAATAACCCGAGCTCAACCACAAACTCAGAAAACTACCATGAGTCACACATAATGATTTACCTATGATACTCTACACTATTCTAGTAGCACACTAGAGGGTGCTACACATATATCAGGAATATGAAATGTTGAGTAACAAACACTTAAAATACTATTGACATATCAACAGCTATGATATGCATTTATCTATGTTTTATTGGTTGATCCTCTTTAAGTTACAGATCTCCTCAAGTGTCTAGCTGGTCGGTGCTTGCGGGCATTATTAGCCATTCCTTAGTGAAACAGAAAGCCTTGGTGTCTGCAGTGGAGAAAATCATTTATCATCAGAAGTATGATGATAGAAGTCATGACTATGATATCGCCCTGATGAAACTGGAGAAACCCTTAAACTACTCAGGTTATCTAACCATTGTGATATACTGGATATACTTTTTTGGGTTTAAATAAATGTTAACCATGACATAAACTTTAGCCTTTATCATCAAACTGAAACACTGTTAACTATTAACAAAGGAACATGCTTAAGCTGGCCATAGACAGTTCAAATCGGTTCAGTAGGGACCAGCTGAGATTCGAACCATGTATGGGCAGGTTGAATGTACCCAAATTGATTGATTGATAAAATGGGTACAATCAGCTTGTCGGATTTTACATGCACTTGTTGCTAGTGGCTATCAGAGCCATTAGCAGTAATCACTGTGTTTTATGGGCAAGGATGGCTCCCCCCCTGCCCAGAGAACACAATGGCTCCACGGGAGGGATTTCCCAATGAACATCAATGAGGGAACTGAGTGATTTTCTACCCTGAAACCAGTGGTTGTAGGAAAGAAAATCACTATATGGCTGGTTTTATTCATCAAGATTCATGCAGTAAAATCTTACACCAATCAAACTTAAATTTACCAACCACTGCCCACCAACAAAGTGGGTGACATTACTCCATGAAGACTGCCCCAGATAAGAGAAAATTAAAACAAAGGTGAGGGTGGGCAGGAGAGCAGGTCAGAAGATCCAAAAGCAAAGCTGGATCTAGATATGAGTCCAGATGACAGTCCAGAGCAGGGGCGGACTGACAACTCATGGGGCCCCCCGGGCAATAGGGGATCATGGGGCCCCTGTGTCCTTGCCCAAACTCAAAAAATCCTATGAAAAAGGTACCAGGGGCATCTCATGGGGCCCCCTACTGATCCCGGGCCCTCGGCCAGTGCCCGGGTTTCCAAATGGTCAGTCCGCCCCTGGTCCAGAGCTAACTGCCCAGTCACAGGGCAAGTGAAAGATTACACTCATTGGCCAGCTGGTTTCCCATCAAAAGATCTGTCACCAATGCAGCACTCAGTTGACTGAAAATCTGGAAAATCTTCCCAGCAACAATAGGCACCACCACAGCACTGATCTTCCAGTGATTCTGGAGTTGACATCAGTTTTTAAAAAGTTGTGCCACTGCCCGTCCTTTCTGTCCACCTCCTCCATTCATAGAACTCTATGTTCTTTCACAGAATGTGAAGTGTTCTGTGAAGAGGCAGTTTCAGTGATGCATCTGCCTGCCCTCCATTCACAGAATGCTTTGCATTCTGGAAAAGAACATTACATGTTATATGAATGGAGGAGGCAGGAAGAAGCAGAACTATTTCATACTTTGGCTTTAGATATGCTTTTAGTTCAATCTGAGTATATTAGTTTTATAGTTATAAGGTACAGAAAAGAAAAAAACAAAGGTCAAACGATAAGGCAAGACATTGCAATACAATACAGTCTTGCTGGTTAGCATACACTAGTCAAGCATTTCACCAAAGCATAGGGAAACACACAGTGAAAATGCAGATCAAAATCATAATTATAATGGGGTTGATTTACTAAAATTGGAGCGTGCAAAATCTGGTGCAACTGTGCATGGTAGCCAATCAGCTTATAAATTCAGTTTGTTCAATTAAAGTAAAACTATAGGCCAGTTTTTTTTTTTTACCCAAATTAAAAAAGAAAAAAAGCGCCATTTACAAAAAACACCAAAGTGTCAGCAGCATATCCCACCCAGTTTTTTTTTTTTTGCATTTTGAATAGAGTAAGAGTTTATTTAGAGTCATTTTAGTTTTTGCTATCTGTGTGCCATTGGGGAAATTTCCCTTCACTTCCACCTCCATAGCCAAAACAGGAAGTGAGAGAAAATCCCTTCAAATTAATAGAATACCTTGGGGGCCCCCCAGGCCAGCAGAACTAGTGTCCCCATTGGAAGATTTCCCCTCTATTACTCTTCTGGGAACAACCCAAAAATTTAGATTTTCTTTTAATTTCACTTTCAATGATCAGGGTAAAAAGGAGAAATAGAGAGGATGAATCTCCTTAAGCGGCATGGACAGCAATAAAAACTGGCATGGCTTCTAATCTATCTCTACTCTATCCAAAACAAAAAAAAAAGTTTTTTCTTTAATTATACTTTACGTTTTTAAGTTTTGACAGCAAAACATGGATGCTGATTGGTTTCTCTGCAGATCTGCAATGCATTTTTCAATTTCTGGTTTTAGTAAATAACCGTCATAGTTAGGTTGAAAAAACGTCCATCAAGATTCACCAATAGAAAAAATGATTGTTAAAAGAGTAACATCATGTAAAAACGTAGTGGAGGAATGCATGCCGCTCAGACCCGCCCAGGTTGTCTGGTGTGTAGGATGGTCTCAGCCACAGTTCTGGCCATGCCAGCTGATGCGTTTGACCCCACCCACAGGGCTTGATCACAGGTGAAACGCGATAGTTGGCCTAGCTGAGGCTATCCTACACACTGGACTCCTTGGGCTGCTCTGAGCCTCCGTTCCTCCACTGCAGAGAAGTTACTAAAAGCATTTACGAATGCTGCTCCTTCTTCCAATACTGGTGGGGTGATCTCCTCTTGTTCCCTAGCTTGGAGCAGTGCCGCAGGCCTTTTCATGCAATCATGTGAATATAATTGTAAAAACATACTTTATGGATGCTCATGCATAGATGAGGCCCCTTTAAAAAGTAGGATGACCCATTGTTGTTCTCCTTTTGAACAAGTAAAATTTAGTAAAAGAGTGTGACAACTGTAAATTTGACTGATTTGGTTTTGCACAGACAGTATACGTCCAGTATGTCTACCACAATATGATCAGGACCTCGCTGCTGGTTCAGAGTGCTGGGTCTCCGGCTGGGGCCATACTCATCCTGACAACAGTGAGTATCAGTTTGTGAAGACCTACCTCTGACATTACCTCTTCTCTGTCAATGGTGCTTTGGTTTCTATACTTTCAGGAGTAGTGCTAATCTTTTTTTTTTTTTACAAGAGGTCCTGTTTACACCCTACGCCAGTCTCTGTTATAACCATTCATAAAGAGCAGTTATAACCATAGTGGCTGTTATGGCCTTTGTCCTACTTGATCTTTGAGTAATGAAATCAAAGCTATTTTTACAGGTAATATAGGAAAAAAAGAACAGGAGATGGAGACCCACAATAGGGTCTCCCCCCTTGCTAGTAGGATTTATTGGTGCCACACCCCTTAATATAAGACACTAAAAAATACATAGCCCTAACAGAAAAAACTAATGGGGTTTTAAAGGCAGCATACCACAAAAATGAATACTCAAAGAATATAACAACTACAGCTTTATTGTTAAAATTCAAACCACAATTGTGGTAATGAAAGTTGAGCAAGAAACACATTCATTTTAAAAAGCATATATTCCTTATAACAGACCGCATAATATACCGCATAATTCATTTAGTAGTTGTTACTGTATTAGGACTGGGATGCAACATCTGAAAAATCAGATCCGTACGTGACTATAAATTTACTCAATGATATGCTTTTTTCAACATTTTGTTTGAGTATCCACGAGCTAACAATCTAACTCTTAATGCATCAGTCTCTCGTTTAAAATCTTCTTGATTGGAACAATTATATTTAAGACGTAAGCATTGGCTATATGGTATAGACCTAATTAGATTGTGTGGATGGCCACTATTGGCTCTTAAGATGGTATTGCCAGTTGGCTTTACAGTATAGATGTCAGGAATGGACTCCGCACTGGTGGTGGGACTCACCTGCCGTGTGGGCTGCAGTACCAGGGCTGACCAGCGGGTGCTCTCAGCAGCCAGAAGCTCACTTCTGCAGTCAGCCAACACCTGGGGCTGATTACAGCAGGTCTATTTAAGGAATGACCAGGCCTGTGATCTGTGCCTTGGTGTAAATGTTTCCCATGATCCCTTGTATCCTGTTCCTGTGTTGCTGTATACTCCGTTGCCGACCTCTGCTTGTTACTGATCCTGCGCTTCTCCTGTTTAACCCCTGGCTTGCCTGACTACTCTTCCGTCTGATCCCTGGTACTGTATATGCTCGCACCCTGCTGAACCTGGCTTGTGACCTGACCATTCTTAGCTCGCTCCTCTTGTACCTCGCTGCCCGCATAATACTGACCTGGCCTGTCTGACCACGCATACCGTACCCGACCTTCCATCCATCCATCCGGCTCGGATCAGACCAGTATATCGGTCTGCCTCTTCCAAATTAGATTCCGTTCCTGCACTCCCCTGTCAGTACTCTCTACCACCGCAGGTCGCACTCGGGGGTCACGACCTGGTTCCAGTCTGCACCAAGTCCATCCCCACCATCAGGGGCCCTGGTGAACAGCAGGCTGGGACTTAGACCCCGTGCCCTGAGGGCATCCGTGCGGTGGGCTGCTAGAGACTCTGCCAGGCAGCTTAACAGTACCAAACGGCCTGCCTGACCATTCCACCTCTCCAGCCCTGACTACGCCTGTGTTCTTGAAGCCTGCTACTTCCCTGTGTCAGTCCACACATTTCTGGTCACACCCGGATCCCTAACAATAGAGTAGAGCCTAAAGTTTAGTCTTACCATATGAAGATTTCCACATCCAAAAAAGAAATACCTTTAGGATTACATGTCATTGTGAAAGACAGGTTGAAGTAATTGATTCCCAGATGTATTATAAAGGCATCCAAAAGTTCTCTGGTGCCATCCCAGAGGATGAGTATGTCAGAACATGGCACAGGTACATTGCGAGAGACCCATCCCCTCAGGTACAGATTGGCGTAGGACGGGGCACAAGTCCCCATGGCTACGCCCTGCACCTGGAGGAAGTGGGAACCATCAAAGGTAAGATAGTTATTGTTGAGAATATATTGAAGAATTTCAATGAGAAATATGTTGAATTCAGTCTGGTCCCTGCTTCTTTCCTGTAAAAACATATTAACAATATCCAGGCCCTTACTATGTGGTATACTGCTGTATAAAGCTTCTACATGCCGACGACGCACAAATCTATCTCTCAACCCCCCACCTCACCCCCTTGGTCTCCGCCCGAATCACACACCTACTGAGCAACATATCAGACTGGATGTCGCTCCACTACCTTAAACTGAACCTCTCCAAAACCGAGTTTCTTGTCTTCCCCCCCAGCCCAGACACCACCTCCCATTGACTTCTCCATCACATCCAACAACGTCACCATCAAACCCGCCCTGCAGGCCAGAGTACTTGGTGTCATTCTGGACTCCAACCTATCCTTCCAGCCCCAAGTCCAATCGCTAGCAAACTTGTGCAGACTCCAGCTCCGCAACTTCGCCAAAATACGCGCGTTCCTAACTCCAGAAACCACTAAACAGCTCATCCACTCCCTCATCATATCACGACTCGACTACTGCAACTCCCTCCTCGCTGGCCTGCCTCGCCGCTGGCTATCCCCGCTTCAGTCGATCCTGAATACGTCTGCCAGACTCATTCACCTTTCCAACCGCTCCATTTCCGCCACCCCCCTCTGACAATCCCTCCACTGGCTTCCAATTGCGCAACGGATCAAATTCAAAATCCTAACACTGACGTACAAAGCTGTCCACCATACTGCCCTGAACTACATCACCGACCTAATATCCAAGTACCACCCAGCACACACACTGCGCTCCTCACAAGACCTCCTTCTCTCTAGTTCCCTGGTCTCCTCCTCCCATGCCCGCCTCCAGGACTTCTCCAGGGTGTCACCCATCCTCTGGAACTCCCTGCCCCAACCCATCAGATTATCACCTACTCTCCTCTCCTTTAGGCGCACCCTGAAAACCCATCTCTTCAGGGAAGCCTACCCCACCCCCTGCTAACTTGCCAACCTCCTCCACTCATCCTACCACTCCATCCCCCACAGCTATCTCCTCCTGTGCCACCATCCCCTCCCTCCTAGATTGTAAGCTCGAAAGAGCAGGGCCCTCAATCCCCTCATGTTTTGCATTGTATTGGTATTGTTCTGTCACATGTTCTGTCCCCCTTTGTAATGTACAGCGCTGAGCGAACTATTGGTGCTTTATAAAATACTGTATAATAATAATAATAATACATCCAGGGCCACTAGTAAAGTATTAGTAGGGACTTGCATATCTTAAATTATTTGTAATAAGTGAATCGTATCCTTAGTATATGATGGCAAACTGGTAACGTGTGTTTTTAAATACATGTCCACCAAGGTACTTGCATTCCCTGTGAGCCTACCACATCCAGAAATGATGGGCCTACATAGGGGTTTGTTTACATTTTTATGCACTTTCGGAAGGGCATAAAAGGTGGGATATCATAGGAATAGGTCAATTAGAGATGCCTTAGTGCAGGGGTGGGCAATCTGCGGCTCTCTAGCTGTTGCGGAACTAAATTTCCCATGAGGCATTGCAAAGATCAGTTACAGCTATGACTATCAGAGGCATGATGGAACTTGTAGTCCTGCAACAGCTGGAGAGCCACAGCTTGCCCACCCATGCCTTAGTGCATAGTTATTTCACTAGATCAGGAATGGCAGATCCATGTCGCCACAGATCATTTGTGGTGTAAATATATTTATAGTGCCGCGCTCCTATTTGTATATATATATAGCTTAATCCAATCTACTCTCATTCTTAATAAATACATAAATTGATATCTAAAACAATACATAAATCACTGTGACTATTGAATAAAAAAAATAATAAATCAATTGTGAATCACTGTGACTTGTGAATCAATTAAAAATGGATAAATATAAATAAATCAAAAACCTTAATTAATGTGACTGATATCAATCAATCAGAAAATCCTTAATTAGATGTGAAACTGTTAAAATGGAAATGAAACTAGGGATGTAAAATCCTAAATCTGTGCCAAATGCATTGGCATCTGTGATCTAATCCTGTTGCCACTCTAATCTCGCATGAATCAATCATCAATATTGTGCAAAAGCATATATAAATGTGCAGGTGCAATCAATAAAGTTCATAAATAAAAGTCTTTCAAATAAGTGCAATGTGCAGGTGAATTCCTTATTCCCTCTCGCCATGTGCCTAGTGGTCTCCCTATGCGCTCACCTTGGTATTTGCCTAAATAAATTCAGGCAAATAAGCTTTTAATCCTTCCAGGATTGATGGGATAATACTCTTGTATAAGATGTTCCAAAAGATGGTGCAGATCTATTGGGATCCTCCTGTGCTCTCCTCTTTCTCCTTGTGCAGCTGCTCATAGATGGGTGTTTTGACCAGCTCTATAGGAATTTGGACCAATTCCTCTTAGGGGGGGCTATAGGAATGGGAGTCCACCTCCTTCTCAAATCCTGGGGTCACCTCCTCTCAAATCCTCCTTTCACCAGCATGGGGAATGTGGGTCAAATGAAGAAAAGAAGAAAAAAAGACCATGGTGCCTTATCCTTTTGTATAAAGGAAATTTATTACTGCCAGTTGCGGTATTACACAGCGGTGTATGGCTCTTTTGTGATCCAGGACAGCATAGGTAATATCGGGTCAGTAGTGAGTGAGTAATACTCTGCCTCTGCCTCTGCCTTCCTGCCTGCCTCTGTCTGCACTGGAATCGCCGAGCCTCTCCGATGCAACGTCGTGACGTCAGAGCCCCTCCCCTACGCGGTACAGGGTCACGTGACTTCATCAGGGAAAATATTCCAATCACTTGCCGGTGGTATTTAGCAGGTGAGAGCCTGATGTGAAGAGGTGGAGTGAGCGAAGTCAGGCAGGCCAGGTCGGTAACGGTGGAGGCAGAGCCGTACAAAGCGGCAGGCAGAAGGATAAACGGGTCACAGGCCAGGTTCAGCAACAGGAGGTCAAATGTACAGGATAAGACAGGAGAATGGTCAGACAAGCCAGGGATCAGAGCAGGAGACAGTCAACGTGATCAGGGTCAGGCAGGGTTGGCAACAAGGCAATCTCTCAGGAACACAGGATAACAGGAAAAGACCATACGGCAATTTGAGCATAGTCAGAGCCTGTTTAAATAGGGCGCCCTGCACTCTCATTGGTGCCAGGCACGCGTCCGCAATCGTGAGTGCGCATGCGCGACTGCCGTTGCGGGCGCCCAGGTCCTAGTGCCCGCACGCCAGTGCACCCCGGCATACCGCGCATGCACAGACTCGCGCGCCGCGGTAAAGCTTGGGGTCCCTGACACCAACTATGACATTCATGCTATCAAAGGCCATATTTTTGCAATCTTATACATTGCTTTTGTCTGTTATAAGCAATATATGCTTTTTAAAATGAATGTGTTATTTGCTCAACTTTCATTGCCACAATTGTGGTTTGAATTTTAACAATAAAGCTGTAATTGTTATATTCTTTGAGTATTCATTTTTGTGTGGTATGATGCCTTTAAAACCCCATTAGTTTTTTCTGTTAGGACTATGTATTTTTCAGCATTTTTACAGTTAATCTTAGTTGAAGAAAAACCCTTGATTACTTCAGAATCAATTCATTAAAGAACCAGCAGCCACTGCCAGCGAGGAAATTTGTTGTTGGTTTAGCACTACGGCCAAGAAGTTGAGGACTGATATTTAGCTTATAGCAGTCTGGTGGGCCCACCAAAACAAGTTTTGGGGTGCAGAAGGATGGGAGCATCCTATATGTATAGTGGAAGAACTCCCCTGCATTGGGGGGAAAAAATAATATGACATTATAGTAACATATTTAGCTGCCTAAAACAATATCAACTAAATGTGATTTGTTTTTTCTTTTTTTTTAGAATATTTAACATTTTTAGGAGCAATTGGTACTGTTCTGGATGAAATATAAGTAGGATGGCGGGACCTTTTACATTGGTAGCCACCAAATATGTTTACCACCTTTAACCTGAATGTGGAAAGCTCACTGCAATGTATATGATCTATGAAGATTCATTCTTAGTGCTTTTTAAAGAATTGAAAAGTATTTTTAATAATACATAAAATATCAATGTCAAAATGAATCAATGTTGAAAAAAGCCTTTATGGTTTTCATTTTATATGTAAGTTTACTCGTGATTGTTATCCTAGCTAACATTCTCCTATAACATGTATTTCTTCAGCTCATATGCCCCGCAGCCTGAAGGAAGCTATGGTGCCTTTAATCAGCACTAAAAAGTGCAATAGTTCCTGTATATACGATGGTGACATAACCCCAGAATGCTCTGTGCTGGGTACCTTGATGGAAAAGTTGATGCTTGCCAGGTAAGGATTTACTAAATTTATTTAACATTAAGGCTCCTGAAAAAAAGAAATAAAGAAACAGTTGTTCCTAAGAACTCCCAGGGGAAGGGGAAAAACGCATTGGGTGGGACTTCTGGTTTCTGCTGACATCACGTTGGATGTGAACTGTAGTGCACCCAGGCTGTGGTTTTTCCTGAGCTTTTATGGAAACTGATTTTAACATGTTCTATGTAAGTGCAATTTGTATTATGTGATTGTGAATAAAAGAAGTACTACACAATGAAGGTTCCCTCTTCTCTTCTGATGCTCTGTTGCTTGAGGTAGCCATTTCACCCTTTGCTTATCACCATCACATGCTGCCAATTTTGTGTAGCGCCCCCCCCCCCCCCCCCCCCCCCCCCCCTAGTTAACCAAGGGGAGCTAGCCAGGTTTTTTTTAGGCAGAGGCTGAGAAGCAGCCTGGGTATGAGTCGGTCTGGGTGTGAGCCAGCCAGGTCACTTTGATCCAGAGCTCTGCAGATCAGTTCCTTGATATCTTCACCTGCTTTATAGACTTGAGAAGTTTCTAGAAGACAGTGGGTGGGGGGTGAGGAGGGGCTAATCTGCATGCCTGAGAGACCCTGACCAATTCCCAAGCAGGAGGCTTGGCATGGAGTCAGGACAGCCCTCAGATATGATTGAGCCTGATCTGCAGGAAGTAATTAATTTGTGTTTGGTGGAAGGGGCCTACCTACAGGCAGAAGAATGGACCTTCACTGTGCCACCGTTAACTAAGGGGGGACTTCCTGGGCAGCAGCGAAGGAGCCAACCAAGCAGAAGGCCTAAAGGCAGCCACTAACCCATATAGCTATCAGGAAGGACAGTGTGAGTAACCTTACACCCCCTGGGTCAGATAAGGGGAGAGGGCAGTCAGGTGGAGAACTCAAGTAGCTCCTCGGCCAGGACTTTTTAAACTCTGGCATCTTCTGTATCCCCTTGCCCAGGGAATACCCTTAGTACTGCTGGATGAAGAGGAGGATTCATCTGGGATCTGAGGAGGTACACTGGTGAGCTGGAGAGCTCTTCCAAGAAGAGACAGATTTTGCTTCATGTCCATAGACTTGTACATAGTTTGTCCTTGCAGTTCACAGTTCCTTGGGCATCCCATAACCCCATCCAAGTTTATTACCCCTTCATAAAAACAAGCTTAAGGACTGGTTACTGTCTTTGTGTAGAAGTGTGATGGAAGAAGATGTGTGTTGCCGGGCTGTATAGGACCGAAGGGAGACCCAAAACTCAACAACTCCTATGGGGGTTGTGCTACATTTGGAAGTGGAGAAATGAGTCTGAAGGAGAGTGGAGTCCATAGGAGAGTGGAGTAAAGAGATACGCCATCCTTTAGAGCTTGTATGACTCTTACGCTGTAAGCAGGGGGTCCCTCCCATCCAGTGAGTGCCAGCTCAGTAGAGAGGGCATGGAGCACTTTTTTCTGAGCACTTTACTGAGTCACTTTATTTCATGCCCTTTGTTAAGGAAGAGATTTTTCTTTAGAAGAGAATTTTTAAACTCTGCAATTGAGTGTCACTTGTCACAGACGTCTTTTATTTCACTTTGGTCATAAGCAGTCATATTGGTTATGTTGGACTGATTAGTTTTCGGAATTCGTTTTGTTTCTTTGGCATTATTGGTGGTCCGAGTGGATTACAATTCAAATTTTTCAGTTTTTCCAGAGGATTGCTATATATTTATTATATTATCAAATCGGAAAGATTAGAATGGGAAGGATTCGATATTTTTGGCCGCTAGCCAAGCCCACCAAGAGAAATAGCATGGGCTATTTAGACAATATCGACTGCCGTCATGTGCATCTGAATTAACGATTAGAACAAAATTGTGATCCATTTGTAATCCAAATTCTCAAATAAATTCAAATTTAATTCCCCAAAGGCCCCGAACTACTATCTCATCATTTGATCCAAATGAAACGAATGCATTTGTAAATTTCATTCTAACTTTTTTTTTTCGGATTCGTTGACATTCGTTACTATGTCCATTCGAAGTCTCTGAGTACATCTGAGTCTCCAAAAATGAAATTTTTGTTTGAAAAACGAATCGTAGCAAAATAAATGCATATGTCTAGTCTTTGCCCTGGATAGTAGTAAAAGCCCAAAATAAGTTCTAGTTCTTACTCACTTTACACACAGCTGGAAAAAAAGTTTCTAGCTTGACATACACTTTAAGCTGGCCATACAGTCAACAAATTTGGTCAGCTGACATCCTTTGATAGTAGGATGCAAGAATCAGATGCAGTTACTATTTGGGTATTCTCAAAAGCTGCGGATGCCCTGTCAAAATAAAAAATAGCCAATAGAGCAGATTCCCTATCCAAACTGTTTAACATGGATAGGAGAATCAATAGTTCTCTCTTTTGTTCATTCCACAGGGCTGAACAAGAGAAAGGTTACAGTGTATGACCATTTAGGCTCCATTCCCCAGTTCTGCAACTTGTCATGACACTTTGGACACAAAGTCCCATGACAAGTCGCAGCCTATGTATTATAATGAAAGCCAATAAAATCTATACGACTTAAAGTCATGGTGACTTTAATCACTTGGAGACCGTATCACTTAGAAGTACGGCAGCAAAGCACATCATGTATCTGATACGTGATCCAGCTCTCCTGGGCAAGGGGTATGCGCATTCACTGCCCGTCCTTGTCCTGTTAAATCTGAGACATGGAGCCTCAATTAATCATGCAAATTGGTACCACTTTCAGGCTTTATCTCGTAGCTGTCTGGTACAGCCATACCCCCACATTTACAACCCTGAGAATGTCTGCTGTTAAGGTCTGTGTCCAGAAACCTTGCATACTAATAGGATATACTAATGGCTTCCAGTATGTCCATGTTACATTAGGTCAATATGATAAGTTCTGGCCTTCCAGTTTAATTCTGTAAGCACCGAATAGTTCAGACACTGCAAAACAAGGAATAAAAACTGGCACATACCTTAGTAAAATCAGCAAACAGTAAACACACCAAGCATTGTTAGGCATACAGTTAACCCTTTGGCTGGGGAAGGGGTTAACATCTAGGGGAAATCAGAGTCATGTCATAACTATAGTTGTCAGTGTTTATTATTAGCACTGATCACTGTATTAATGTCACTGGAGAGGGGTCAGTGTCAGTTAGTCAGTTCACACAAAAGAGTCAGTTAGTGTCAGATTGCCCACTGTACTATCGCAGTCCTGCTATAAGTTGTGATCGCCATCATTTAGAAGTATAAAAAATTAAAATAAAAAACTCCAGTATATATACCTAGTTTTTAGATGCTATAACTTTTACACAAGCCAATTTAATATCCCCCCCCCCCTTTTTTTGTTTTTCTTTCTCCTTTTTTTTTTCTCTCCCCCCCAACATCTCACCCTACAATTCTCTCTCTTACTGTCTTTCTTTCTTACCTGCTTTTTTTCACACCTGTTATTTACCTGTATCACTTATTCTCTACCAACCAAATAGAGGCATTTACCTGCACACAGATGTGACTAACTTCAACCATAGCACATACTCTAGTTATAATTATGTAAACAATGACCTTCACAGTACCAATGCTTTCCCTACCCCTACCCTTATCATCACTGATACCTCACCATTTAAAAAGTTGTGAGAGTCAAGACGAGATAACTTTCACCAACATCACTTCATCCATTTTCTCTTGGTATCCAACCATTTTGCATTGTATGATTGATGTACTGTCCTACACCATTTTTCGTCATGTCATGGAACTGTTTATAATTTGTCCGTCCTGCGAAACGGGGAAGCAACATGTCAGTGTCTATGTTTTGAATCTGGGATATATGGCTGTACATGATCTAAAAGCATTTTTTGTCTTTTAATTATAAACAATAAGTTATTTTGGAAAAAAAAAAAAAAAACAATTAATATACACTTATTGGGATTTTATTGTTTTACTCTTGCCAAAAAAGTAAATTAATATTGCGGTTATTTTTTTCAACATTTTGGGTTTTTTTTTTGTTCTATATATATAAAAATTGTAATTAAAACAACAGTGGTAATTCAAACACCACCAAAAAACGTCCTAGGATTGTGTGTGCAGAAAATCAATTTTGTTTGTTGCGACCAGTGTTTGCATTACAGTGCAAATTGTCAGTTAAAAGTGCCCCCACAAAAAAAGAGCCCCCCAACAAAAAAACAAAAAAAAAAATAGAAAAATAGAAAAAAAATGGCCGGATCAGCGATTTGAGGGAGGGGGGGTTGAAAAACTAGAGGGCACGAGTGGTTAAAAATGTTCCCAACTGCTCTGAGTTGCAACTTTTCATCGTGACTTGAGTTGCCGTTTAGACTGTTAAAGTAAAGAACTCTCAAAAGTCGCATGGAAAGTTGCAGCCTAATTTAATCCAATTCAAGCAGTTGTTGCCAAACAGTTAAAGCCAAGTCAAGAGCCAAAGTCACAACCCATCCAAAGTTGAATCAAAGTTACATCAAAGTTTTGCATTAAAAAAATTGTCTTCAAGGTCGGCAGTGTAAATTTGCAATGGAACATTTTCACCTACTTTGGAGTTGCCAAAACTGTGTACGATGCTTAAGAGTGTATGTTAAGTGTATAAGTAAATTAATTAAAGGTTGATTGTAGTGCTCTTAATGGACATCACAATCAATTAACTAATAAACAATACAGGTGAATAAATTGTTGCTCATAATCATTATGTGAATAAATGTGAATTAAGATAATAAAAGTGCTTTCATATAAATTAGTTTTATAATTTTCCAAAATATCACATGATCTGAAATATCAATCCCTGATGAAGTCAGTGCATGGTAATGTTAACGGCGTAGGGGCATAAGGACTAAGGCCGTTTTTTTGTTTTGAGGAAAGTGTAGAAGATCCGTGGTTGTTTTAAAGTTCTTGTCCATTTTAATATACAATGTAAGTGTGAACCATTAGCAGTGCTACATCGCCTTTAATTAATTTACTTATAATTTA